CCTCGCGGGTGCCTGTGGGCACCCACAGACCCACCAGCTGCAGCTCTGCCCCTGGATTGACGTGGATATTCATCACTCCATTCCCCTTTTTTTGCAAACAAAGGCTCCGGGGCTGGCTGTGTCTGTCACACACGATAAGTGGCCTGTTTTCCTCCCCGATCCCAACACAGCACGACTCCAGCAGTAGGCGGAAGCCGCGAGACAGCCAAGCTCACATCTGCTGGGGCCAGTTCTCCAGCACCGGGAGGGAGGCAGAGAAGAGAAACCAGCGCTGAGCAGAGGGTGACATCCCCACCTACTCAGCAGCTACAAGGGGAAGCACCTCTTTTGTGGAAGTTACTAAAGTATTGGGCAATTTTTTGCTTCATGCCCTTGAGCAAAAAGCAGCCCAGGAGAGCGAGGCTGGGCACAAGGCAGAGGGGAAGGTGTTGACAGCTCCGGAAAGGAGACAGGGTTTCAAAGACAGAGGATGTGATGCTGTAAGGAATGGGGACAGAGCAAGAGCAGGGAGAAACGAGATAAAAGCTCTGGTAAAAGCCCCAGGTCTTGCATGCAAACACGCCACGGCCAGGCTGACCCTATGGTGTGAGCTGAGCCCTGTCACAGCGGGGCAGCTCCTCTGCTGCGGCTGGATGTGTGTGTCCCACCCGGAGTGGGACAGGGGCAACGAGACACTTTAAACACCACGAAGTCACTTGCAGAACGAGAAATTAATGAGCATTAAAAAGACCCACAACAGTAGGAAAACAGTCAAACCCCAAAGGCTACTCACCCTCCGCGATCTCTTGGGCGAAGGGATTTGGTTGAGACTCACAAGGCAAGGAAGATGCCGGCTTCCTGGTTCTTATCTAGCCGTGTCCTCCCATGCCCTCTCACAGCCCAGATCATCCTCCCGTGGCCACCCCACACCGTGGCCACCCCTCCCCTCTGCCCAGCCCAGGAGCTCCCGGCTGTTCACTGAGCCTTCAAACCCAACACCCCAGCGCAAGCACACAACGCAACAGCGTGTTGCAACACCACGTATTGTGACATGGATGTTCAAAACCTAAATAAGCCGCTCTTCCAGACTGGCCCTCTGCAAATCCTTCCTAATCCAATCTGGTTTACGGCATTAAGTTGGACCCTCCCATACTGAACGCTCCTATTTGCCCAGCGGTTGGGAAAATCCTCCCGTTTCCTTATTCCTGGTTGAGCCTCTGATGCAGAGATCACCAGAGCTTCCTTATTCTCACTTAGGGAATTATCTGAGGATGAGGCTCTGTCTGTGCTCCCATTTTCACACCCTGCTGGCACATCACCCCTCCGGGCATGGGAAACCATCTCCCCTGCTCCGACTGTAACCGAGCCGAACGCAGCCGAACGCAGCCAGGCGCTGCCGAGCAGCTTCTCCTTTTCCAGCTGTTTATGGGGTTTAAAACAATTTTTCCCCACCTTAGCCAGGCGCAGCAGAAGAGCTGGAGGGGATGAGCCCTGCGCTGACCTCCAGCTTGCTGTGGTAAATCACAGCTGGGATCCAGGTTATGACACAAGCCCCAAAACGCAGTAAATCGGTGCATTATTCACGCAGAGCAGAAGATGCCAGAGCACACGGGCTCAGTCTGAGCGATGCTCTTGCCCTCCCTGGGGCCACCCCACAGCTGGATCCCACATCAGGGGGACATGACTGCACTGCCAGCTGCCACTTACCTCCCCGCTGAGCAAAGCCAAGCTTGCCACAGGCTGTCAAAGACACGCACCTCCTTGACGCTGACTTCTTTAGGGAGGAAAAAGCCTCCCCGTGTCTCCCTGGGGTCCTCTCGTTTAGCAAACATCTGCCACAGCACGTGCGTTAGAAGAGCTCAGGGAGGGAGGCAGGCGTCAGCAAGTTAGGACGAAGGTGTTATAATTACCCTCAGCCTCCCTGTAATCTGCAGAGCGCCGAAAAGTTATGCCACGGAAAGAAAAGGAAAGCAGCCGGACATATTTATAACGCCTTCTCGGGGAGACGCAGATGGCCAGGCTGACACGAGCTCCAGCAACAGGAGCGGGGCTCCTCTCCCTGTGATTTCCCAGCAAATACGCCTGAATTGCGTTTGGCTCCATCAAACACTGAGTACAGAAATAGCCGGGCCCCGCGCGGGCGTTGTGTACGTACACACCATTGCTGGCTGCACGACCTGGGGGAAGAGCTCCTGCTATTTAAATAATTCCCCCGAGCGCTGCTCTTCATCCTCTCCCTTGCAGCGCTCAGGGAGCGCTGGCAGCGGTGGGGCTGGGAGTAAAGAAGGTGGTTTTGATCCCTCTAGCCCATGCGAGGCAGCGGGGATGAGCGAGGAGTAACTGCAGGGCTGCCGGGAGTGCAAAGGTTGCGTCGGGGAGCGACAGCTCAGCTTTCTGCTCTCGCGGTGTCACGGGGCTTGGGGTGGCGGCGGGGACCTCGCCAGCATCGTGGGGTGGCTCCCAAAGCAGCAGAAAGGGCCTCGGCGTGGCAGGATACGCCTTTGCTTGTGCAAACTCCACGTTTCCAAGAGAAAAAAAAACGGTGTGGGCAGCCCGGCACTGCAGCTTGACGCCGGGCAAAACCCCAGAGTGCCTCCCCAAAACGTGCTGCCCGCTGACGCCTGCAGCGCTTGGCCAGCACAGCCCCCGTGTTTCACGTCCCCTCTCCCTTTTCTGGCTCAGTTGCCAGAAAGTGCGACAAGCCACGGTCAAGTATCACCCCCCAACCGTGCCACCTCGCCCAGGCAGAGAGTGGTCCTGCCTCCCGCCCCACGCATGGGAGAGAGGAACCCCTGGCACGGTCCCTGTTGGGCCATGAGCAGCTCCGGGCGAGCACAGGGGATGCTCAGGAGGTGCTGGCGGCCGCAGCACCACAGGGAAGGTCACCAGCGAGATGGTGCAGATGACTCAAGCCCAGCAAGGCAGATGCTAAGGGCATGACACGCTGGCAGAAAAATGCTATTTTTCTGCTTGTATTTCCAAATCCTAACAAAGACAGAGATTCCCAAGCAGGCCACCCCACCCATCCTCTCCCAAGGTTTGACCTCCCTGCTCTCGCCCTCATCTCTCCCAAGAGTCGGCTGATTTAACACCACCAGCATCCTCTGCGATCCTCACCCTGCAGCCCGGAGCATCGGGCATTGCCATCGACCTTCCCGATCGGCAGCAAGTGAGCAGGGACAGGGAGGATGAAAAACCCGTTGCATTTCCAAGCAGGAAATTACTCCATCCCCAGGGAGCCCTGTCCCTAATTGTTTTGCATTCAGAGCTTCCAAATTCATGAGTATGATAACCAAGAAGAGGAGAAAAGCAATTAAATTCACTCCAGGTGCCATGAAAGGTAGATTTGCCTCACAGTTCTGCAGCCCTCTGAGATGTGGCGTGCTTCTTCCGATGGGATGGGGTGGGATGGGGTGGGATGGGATGGGATGGGGTCAGATGGGATGGGGTGGGATGGGATGGGATGGGATGGAATGGAATGGGATGGGATGGGATGGGATGGGATGGGATGCCGGGCAGCCAGCCAACCAGTGCCAGTCACCCCCAGATGATTATTTCTCAACATGTACCAAATCTACGCAAACCAAACTCATTTTGCAAGCGCCCACCAAAACTGCTTTCCTGGCAAAACCTGTCACACTCTCTTGAAGCGCTTTGTGCAATATAATTTCCTTTCCAGTTACAACAGCCAGCAGTGACTCTCGGCTCTCTGTTTGTGTAAAGCTCTATCACATGCCAGATAACAGCCCATCAAGGAATTTATAAATATAGTCTTTTGAGGCAGTAATTGTCACTCCAGCCATCTGTTAAAATGGAGAGCTCGGCAGCGGCGTGGCGGAGGTAAAAATACGGGGGAAAGCATCGCAGCGGTGCTGTGGGGGAGCCTCCAAGGGGAAGCCATGGTTTGAGATCTCATGGGAACTGCTCTTTGATCATCGCCCGTTGGTCTTAGGGCTCATCCTGCTCACCATCCCAAATAACACCCCATTTCCAAGCTACATCAAATTTGCCGACTTTTGCCATTCCATACCTTCTTCTTTCCATGTGGGGTGAAGGCCAGCACCCAAATTTTTCTCCCAACGGATTCCAGTGGCTTTACCAGGTGGGATCAGCCGTGCTGCAGGCGGGCACCCACACCCCAGGAGCCCTGAGGGGCTGCCCTGGCCCCAGCGCACTCCCCGGGGGCCCCCAACAGCACCAATTTACTTTTTACCTTCAACTGGTGGGCGCTGGCTCCCCGGGGCGGCTCCTTCTTCGTCGGCAGAAGGTGATGCCCTGTGTGCCCCAGCGAGCTCGGTCCTGGGGCAGACACAGCCTGGCATTACAGAGACAGTTTTATAAGCATTTACCAGTGCATGATGATTAATTAAAGCTACAACTATCAAAATAAAAGATAACCAAGGCGAGCTGGTGACACGCTTGGTGTTTTTCCTTCTCCCCGGGTGCCACCCCACTGCCTGTGTGCCCCAAAAGCCGCGACGTGAGCTCTGGAAGGGGCTGCGTGCTGAAATGTGTCCCCGGGAGGGACTGGAAAGACCTGTTGCTGCTCACGCTGCCGGAGTGACGAGGCCCCGTGCCGGGAGGAGAGGTGTGGCGGAGGCCAGCGCAGGCCGGTGTCACCGCCTCCCGTGCCGCCATCGACACCCCTGCGCCGGGAAAAGGGTCGGAGCAAGGTTATCCGCCGGCGGCGGAGGCGGCTGGATGCATCCCACAGCCCAGAGCGTGAGCCCGAAGCCGTGCAACCCCCTGCCAAGGGATTACACCCATTTCAGCCCATCTTTGCCTGGGTCTGCAGGTCCCTGACCCGTGGCCAGAACCCCCAGATGCTCATGGAATAACCCCCTATCTCAAATCCAGAGTCAATGGGATGCTCCGAGGCAGCTGGTCCGGTGCTCGAGTCCCCATCTCCTGCTGCTCTGCCTGTGGCACAAAGCGCCTGCAAACCGGTTCAGCCAGAGTTTTTTTTAAAAAAAAAAAAAAAGGAAAAAAGCAAAAAAAGGAAGCTTTATTTCTCCCTGACATTTAATAACCTTTATTGTTCTCTGAGCAGCGGTTTCCCATCCCAAGAGCCGGCAGCACGGCTGATCTTCCTCCAGGCTGGAAAGGCTTTAAAGCCCGGTGGCCGCCCCATCTCCCCACCCTCCACCAACAGTGAGAAACCCCAAAAGGTTCAAAAGGCACAAACCAGAAGGAAACACCACGGGAAGCAGCAGCCCTGGATGCTGGGGCCAGGCTGGCTCCGGAGCTCGCTGTAAACCCTGCCACCTCCTGCAGCTCCCGCCTTCACCCCGCAGCATTTCCAGCGTTGCTCTGGTTATTTTTCAACACTGAGCTGGTACAAAAGGTGCCGGGGCCACAGAGCATCCAACCCGTTGGATGTGGCGGTTACTAGGCGAGGGGGAGAGCTGCTGACAACTCGCAGGAGGCAAACGGAGAAATTAATAGTGCCGCAATTCCCACTGCCTCCATCATTAGGGAAAGAAAATGCGTTCGAGCATCCTCACTCGAATGCACAATGTAATTTGTTTCAAGTTTAATATCATCCTCCTTCCCAGAGATGGGCTGAAGCTGGGAAAACTCTCTGGTTTGATCAGCCGTGCTCCAGGGCAGATGCAAGGCAGAGGAGGGGGATTTGCAGAGATTTGTATAAAGGGAAAAAAATAATAAAAAAAATCATCTAAACCCACACGGTGTTGGTGCTGCAAGGGGCCATCGCCCACTAAAATGTTACAGGCATTATCACCCGGGGCTGCTTGCTAATAAACTAGCTAATTAGCTCAACATTTAACTTCAGTCTTTTATGGAGGGTGTCAGTAAGGTTTTCTCCCACCCACCAAACTCCGCGCCACTAAACTGCTCTCCTGCACGAGACAGTGGCGTCACCTCCCCGAAAGCATGAGACTTGGGGCAGGAGAAGGACGGGAGAAACCCAGTTTTATCGGGGATTTAATCCCCTCCTGGAGCCCTGGGTTTTGCACCAGGAGGTTGGGATTTTCCCCGGCGTGGCTCGCGGTGTTTCCTCCTCGGGGCCTCTTGTTTGTGCAGGCGGCTGCAAACGTTTCCTCCTCCCGG